AGACAGTTTATGTGCTTTATAGGTTTAGCTTAATATTATTGATATGATTATAATATTAATTCTTTGTTGCTGCTTGCCTCTTTGCTGGTAAGTTGGTAGAGTTATAGTCCCAGCTCCAATAGTTTCCTTCGGAATGCCCATACAAATGTTCATTCAGAAAATAAGTCTAGGTAGTTCTAAGAGTAAGAGGGTTTTGAGAAGAGAATGGGTCAATATATCCCTACCTACATAGCCTTTGGACATTGTGATTAGTTGGTCTCTTACAAGCCAGGGTGACTAAACTTACTATCTTTAACCATGAGAAAGGCTTTCCAAATATTTTTTTCCTCTATAGGACAAAGGGCTCTCTCCTTCATGCATATGTTTCTTGAAGCACAGAGATAATGTACACTTTGGATGGTTTTAAAGAAACCTCATCTACACTCCTGATGAGGAAATGGCATACTTTTTAGCCCATGGGAAAATCTGGAAGTTAAGTGGTCAAAGACTCCCTGAGCCCACCGCATCTTTCTCTTTAGTCTCTGAAGATGAGAGGAAATGTACACTCCACATCTCCAGGAATAACTCTGTCTCACTCAACTGTTACCTGGGGTGAGGTTGTACTCTCCCCGAAGAACATCTTGCATCACCAGAAACATGGTGCAGAGACACACTATGGTCAATACACGCTTGGTGGCTGACTGCCTGGATTGGTGGAAGTCTTAGGTGACAAGTCAAACACCCTGGCTTCACTGTGCTGAGATGATGCCCTAGGGTTTTTCAGCGGTGGGGAGAACCATGAAGATGGTTTTGTATTAATTCACCAAACATGTCACCTTTGCATTGTCTCAGCCCTTCTTTAACAGATACAGGGATGCCAAAACATTTTAAAATGTTCTTTTCTGTCCACAAGTTGATGGCATCAGAAAGCGTTGAGTCATTTGCAAAGTGAAATGGGACAGGCCAAGGCCAAGTAGAGCAAAACTGTTGGTGGAAAGAGCACTAGGCTGAAGCAGAAGAATCAAGTTTTATTCTCAGCTCTGCTATTAGTCCTGAGGGTAACTGGACGAGTCCCTTAACCACCCAGCCAAAGAGGTCAGAATAGATAATTTTGGAGGTGATTTTGATGCCAATTCTATGAGTCTGTAGTTAGTGCTTTAGGAACTGGGGGTTCTCAATTCTGTTTAACATTTGCAAAGGTATTTGTTTAAACTTTTGAAGGGATACCCTCTTGCTAAGAAAATGCATACAAAATCAATTTTTGTGTCTATATCCTGTTTCTTCTCCCAAAGACTCACAGAGCAGTTTACAGAGAAATGAATACCTACCCTAGTTCTAAATTGATTTGGCTACATTTGATACACTCTTCCTTTCTTAGAATATGACTTTTCAGTTATAATAGCCCCAAAGATTGCTTTTTGCACATCCTTCATTTTTATGATTCTTTTCAAAGACTTCTTATGCTGCTCACAGTAAAACTGTCTGGTAGGTTTTCAGCGGGCTCAGAAGTAAGCAAACTAGAAGTGTCTAGCCCTTACCATAAAACAGAGGAGCGAATGTGCTCATGTCATCGTGTGAGAAGGGAAGGCCACTCCATTTCCTCTTACACAGATTTTGGTTTGGAGACAAGAGAAAGAAGAGCTCTTAGCTTTCACCAAGAACCAGAGTCCAAATTAGAGCTCTGTCCTGAGCTTGGTCTGCAGTTATCACACTGGTCAGAAAACCAGTGCACATGAGAGTGAGGCCAGTATTTGAGAAGCAGATGCTGGCTAATAGTGGCTGGTCCTGTCTGTACCAGAAGAGACTGAAAGCTGGGACCATGTGCTTGAGTGGTCCAGACTTCAGGACCCAGGGACTGCTACTTACTGGGACCAAGGGTCCTGAGAGAAATGGCATTCTCTAGAGGAAAGGAACAGACAACATTACTGTCACTCATATATTTTAAGTACCTTTAGAAAGGCCATAGGAGTGTGGGTTTTCCAGAAAAACAGAACCATCAGGAAGGCGTATGTATGTGTATGTGTGTATGTGTGTTCTATCTGTCTGTCTGTCTGTGATCTTTGTCCCAGCTTGAAGGCTTTCAGCTAGAGGGAAAAATGTATTGGATTCAGCCTTTTGTTCTATTCAGATCGCTGATCATGTGATAAGGCCCACCACATTGGGGAGGGCAGTCTGCTTACTTAATATATAGAGTCTAATGTTTATTTCATTCAGAAACAACTCACAGATACACTCACGATAAGGTTTAACCAATATATAGGTACCTGTGGCCCAGGCAAGGTGACACATAAAATTAGCCATCACAAAGACTGTCTCTTGCATGATTGCTGGCTGCCCTTTGAATTGAATGTAGGAAGAGCTTCCAGGGGATGCCTCATGCTGACAGCTGATTGAAATGGAAGCTTCCCCACCTCCAGCTCCTCCCAAGAACAAATGTGTTAAAAATCGTTCTGTGCATTCTTGTCTCTTCCGCAGGCTGTGGCTACTTCCCAAGCACCAACAGAATTTGAAGAGTTAGAAGGAAATAGGTTGAGACTGTAGGAATACAGGTTATTGAGCCAGATGCTGGTAGCTCACACCTATAATCCTAACTGCTTTGGGAGACTGAGAATAGAAGGATCACAATTTGAAACCAGCAAGGGCATACCCATTGCTGGGTACACCGTCACACAACTGCCCTCATAAGCCATGTGGGAGGATGAAATTGGGAGGATTATGATTCTAGGCCAGCCCTAGACAGAAAAATCCACAAGACTCCATCTCGGTGTAGGGAAGATATGCCCACTGTTGCTTGTCTGTCATCCCAGCAATGAAAGGGAGCCAAAAAAAAAAAAAAAAGTGGATCACAGTCTGGAATTATACTGAGACAGGAAGTGAGACCCTATCTAAAAAAATAACCAGTAAAAAGCAGAACTGAAGATGTGTCTAGGTGATAGACTACAATACCTTCTTGGCAAATCAAAGTCCTGAATTTAAACCCTAGTACCAAAATAAGAAGAACAACAACAAAAACAAAAACCTAAGAACAGATTCTTATTTTCCACTCTTTTCCCTAGTAACTATACCAGCCTACTCCTTAATTGATTCATTACTGGCTAGGGCTGATCTTCATCATTATAGAAGAATACTATCAGAAGAGCTCTACAGAAAACTACCCAGGTAGGGAACTGATGATCTACAAGGAGTTAATTTGAAAAGTGGGATATAAACTCTGGTAAGCTTAGAAAATGTCAATCTTTCTTGTTAGCAACATATCCAAGATGATGAGTATTTCCTTCTCATGCCTCCTGGCTTCTCGGCTTCCGTAGTCTGTGCCAGAGGCTGGAGCCATGGGCAGCAACATTCCAGACATCCATCCCTGGGCATGGAAACACAGTCAAGTTAGCTATGGTTCAAAGTAGAGGACAGGAACGGAAGTGTGTTTTAAAAGGAAGGAAGAAAATAACCCAGGGAAATAGTTGTGTGCTGAGTGTGGCTTAGTATGTGTAAAGCCCTCACTTCAATCCCAGCATAAAAATATAAATCAGGGGCTGGGAAGTTGGCTCAGTGGTAGAGCACTTGCCTTGCATGCATGAGGCCCTGGGTTCGATTCCTCAGCACCACATAAGCAAAAGGAAAAAAGCCGGAAGTGGTGCTGTGGCTCAAGTGGTAGAGCGCTAGCCTAGAGCTGAAGAGCTGAGGGACAGCGCTCAGGCCCAGAGTTCAGGCCCCACAACCGGACCAAAAAAAAAAAACAACAAAAAATATATAAATCAATAAGAATGATGAAGAAACAAGTACAGTAAAGAAGTTTTGTCTCTCTAATATTGTAATTTTAATGGAGCTCTAGTCATGTATTTATTAGACAGGAGTTACTTTCTTGATGGCTGCGTCATTTTCCTTATGGGTCTTCAGCCCTCCCTTGAATTGTCTGTCCTTCTGTGAGAAAGAACAGCGCAAGGATGGGATGTGCGACAGGCGAGGGACCTTGGAAGTCAGCAGGTCTAGTGGTTAGCAGGGGTGACTGGCTAAAACGTATATATGCTGGAGAAAAACTCCACCATACACCTTTTCCTTGATTGGTGACAAAGCAAAAGAACTAAGTTGTTTCAGGCTGTGGATTGGAAGAAGGTTGTAGAAAATTAAGGTGTGCAGCCTACTCAGGTTGGGAAAAGAGAGGAAGCTGAAAGGGTGTTAAAGAGACAGCATCATTGTGCTACAGGAGAGTACCTCACATCTCTTTTGTCTGTGGAATGTGTAAGTTTCTGGGGCTATCATGATACTTGCCTAATGGCTCCACAAGAATAGTTAGTGTGCAGCTCCATCTATTGTTAATCTAAACACCCACCCATCCATCCATCCAGCTATCTATCCGTCCATCACCCATCCATCCATTCATACATAAATCCACCCAACTATCAGTCTACCCATCCACCTATCCATACATCCATTCACTCATTCATCCACCTGTCCATCTATCCACCCATCCATGCATGCATGCATCCATCCTTCATAAATACATCTGTGGAATGGCCTCCATGAACTTACCCATAATATTCAGAAGGTGAGGAAAAAACAATTGTCTTCTACTCTAGGAGTTCATAGCCCAATGGGCTACACCTGATGTATCAACGGTAATGGCCACTTAGAGAGAAGAGAGCTCAGGGGATATGATGGGAAAGAGGCCTCCCATTTGGATTCTGAAGGGGAAGAAAGGCATTTGTGGAAGTGGTGCTATTTTAGATGAATCCTGAAGGAGATTTACCTAATGGAGAACTTCCTCCCCTCAGTAGCAGGACTTGTCTTCCTTTTTCGGTGAAAGAGAAGTCCTGTTGTCCTGTTCCAGGCACTTTTGGTCCAAGCTCTGCCTCTCCTAGCCAATGAAATCTGCACTGAAATATTTGTGCTCTTGGCTTTGTTGGTGGTGAAGTTGGAATGTTCTAGGGTGTGTGAAATAATACTGTATCTGCCATTTATCTTAGAAAACTCTTGGCACAAGAGCAGCGTATTCAAGATACTTTTTCTTTTCTCTATCAATGCAGGATTTGATGACCTTCATGTATGTGCTGACCCTGGTGTTCCAGAGAATGGATTCAGGACCCCCAGCACAGGGGATTTCTTCGAAAGCTCTGTAACACGATTTCACTGCCAAGACGGATTCAGGCTGAAGGGCTCTACAAAGAGATTGTGTATGAAACATCTTAATGGAACCCTAGGCTGGGTCCCAAGTGATAGACCTATCTGTGTGCAAGAAGGTAAAGTGTTTACTTCTCCAAGAAAGCCACTCAAGTGGCTCAGCTGCAGGACTGCCTTGGGGTTGATCTCTGGTTCTGACTATACCAGCATGAATACATTGAGGACTAGGGTAGGGGACAAGTTAATCTCAGCATTAAGAGAAACAGTCTTCCCTCTGTATGTCAATTATAATCTAATTTATCTCCATTTTTGTCAAGGCAAGAGAGCAACTCAGATAACATTAGGGCTATTTGTTATTAGGCTGCCAGCTCAGCACTCATTCTCATGTCGTCCAATAAAAAGTGCAGTAAATATATTGTGAAGAAACTCTATTTAGTGAAACAAAAGACAAGTGTTACTCAGAGGATTAAATCAAGTCCTTCTCAGCTCTGTATTAGGTGTGATTCATTTAAGGAAAGAAAGCAGAACTGATTTGCATGGTAGACATTTATTCCTAGCAATTACACCTAAATCTATTGGTGGTAACTAGATATTCAATTACTTCTGGAAATCACTTTACACACACACACACACACACACACACACACGTATACACACATATATGTAGACATATTTAAAGTTTTAAACAATGTGTTGAATTGAACTAATTGGACTGCCAAGTGGTTGTTGATTATGTATCTCAGAGGATCAACAAAGCTGAAGTTGGTGTAGTCATTAATCAAGAATTAATTCTAGCCCCCAGTTTTATGAAGCCTAGAACTTCTATGTTGTTGAGCTCATTAGGAATGAGTTCCAGGATCTCTTGATACCATTATTGAGTTTATTTGGGGAGGGAGCTTTTATGATACTGGTATGTAAGTGAAAGTTGTGATTCTGTGCATGTTTCTTTTATGATACTTTTAAATAATTTAATCTGACAAGCAGTTTTTTAAAAAATATCTATTATGGTCTTCCTCATAGAAATTGTAAAGGATGGGTAGGATGGTGTGTTGTTCTTAAAGTGCCTCTAATCTTTACTTTTGCTTTTGTTTTTAAGATGAGGATGTGTATTATATGTATCATATGTATATTGTAAGTATGTATCACATGCCCTATAGACATAGAGAGAAAAGGAGATAAAGATAGGTAAAAAAAATAGCCAAATTTAATGTTTTAAAAATAAGTTTATTTTCTCCTCTTGCAAGCAGTCCATGCAAGCTGTGCTTTTCATGAGAACCTACTTAGTTAAACTTTATTTGGTTCATGAATGTAAACTTTGCTGCCAAAGGGAAGTCATATGACACCCGGTACTTAAAACCCAGACAAGCTCAGGGACATCAGAGAACAAAGAAAACCCAAAATAGGCTTCCTGAATATTGCCCAGAGATGAAAGCTTCTGTTATTTTACTATTGCAGGAAAAACCAGTTTGTCACATTTTAGCTGAGTTTCCTTCCAGCTCCACATGCCATGTAGTAATTCCTGAGAAAGGAGTAAGATTTTCTGTTGTTCAGGTCAGTATGCATAGTTCCTGATGCTTAGCCCACCCATGCTGGTAGGAGCTTGATGAAGACAGCACCCTCAAACAAGACAGTCTGATGTTTTCAAAGGAGGGTGCAGGTCTGAGTTCCAGTCATGGTACTGGGCTCTCATCATTTTGGAAATCTGGAAGACTGTTGCCAGCCTAAGCACAATGATGTACAATTTCATTCTAATCTTAACAGTGATATTGTTATGGTCTTTGAAAGATCTGTATAAAGACATTGTTCTTGTGTCCCAGATGGAGGAAAAGCAGTTTTAATGTCCCAGGCCTTATTCATTTATTCTCTCTGGTTTATGAGGAGGTTGATGGGAGCACCCAGGAAGACTCGTCTTTCTGATTTAGCCCTTGCTTCTTGCTCAAGATTTATGCTGGGAGAATAATAGCAAGGGCAGCTGAATTACTTTGTTTCCCTTGCTGGGTATCTCTTAGAAAGCTAATGAATTTTGGTAGGGGCAGTAATAATAATAATAATAATTTATCATATTTTTATAAGTTATTAAAAGTACCCCCAAAGTCACTGTGTCATTTAACACTCTACAAGCTGAGATTCATGGTTCTCACTTCCTAGCTAGTAAACTGAGGCTCAGAGAGGTCCACTCACTTTGTTAAGATCACAGAGCTGATGAAGAAGCAGCAGAAATACAACAGCAGCAACAACAACAACTACTACTACAAAAACTGGGTTTATCCAGGCCAGCCCTGGGGAAAATGGAGTGCTTTCTGTTTCAAATCTCCATCTTTCAGGGGTCAGAGAGAGTGTGAAGGGCTTGTATGTGACCCAGAACGTTACAATGAGACAATGGAGATAAAAGTCTTGGCTGGACAGGAACTTCCTCTGAGTCCCACTTCCTCCCTCTCCCCTGAATCTAGATCTCTTGGGACAGCATCTACATTTTTCTTTGTAGATAAAGCAATAATTCATATGAAATGAGGAGAGGAAGCGCAGTTAGGAGAATGTCCATGTATAATGGATGGGTTCTTAAAAGATTAGGGAAAGGATGGAGGTGTGTGCTTAAAAAAAAAAAAAGAAGTTCTCAGTGTATCACCCTGAAGCCCAGTTCTCTTCCTCCAAGACAACCAACTTAATAAGTTGTTGTTCTGGACAGTTCTGAGCTCTCATAGTTACACTACAAATACCACCTTCCCCCACCCCAGCACTAAACCGGCCCCTCTGTCCTCTACCAAGGTTGTTTCCCAACCTTCTTTGTGCCATAGAAGCCCCATTCTAATCAGACACAGAGCACATTGTTGCAACAAATGACTTGGGTCAGGGTCAGGTTCAGGGCTGCAGGTGTTACTGTTGGGGAGGGTGGGGGGGACATCTGAGCTTACGATGCTGCCCCAGGCAGGCAGAGAACTACAGAGAGGAAGAGTGCAAGGAGTGATTTTTCTAGTGAAGTGAAAGAACACCGTGGCACATGAGGGAGACAGCTGGGTTGAGGACTCGCTGTTGTGAAACTTAAGCATTTTTATTATTCAGTAGGGCAGGTTTCTAGGTGGCCTGAAATTGGAGCCCTCCTCTGGGACCCTTGCCTAATAGTTTGGTGTAGCTCAGTGTCTGCCTGGTGTAGGAAGTATAGGCACATGCTTTTGAGAAAGTGCAAGCAGGTACCTATGCATTAGAGCCTCTTGTCCCTTCCAGGTTTGGCACTGCCATTGGTCCTTATACCCCTCCAGGCATAGGTATGACCCTGGGCTCATAGGGAATTTGGGGTATTATCTTACTTGCAGGTCTGTGGCATAGGTCACCTGGTATTTTGTGATTCCATCTCTCCAGTAAAGTAATGGAATCTTTGTCAGGGGCTTTTCCACAGTTCTGCTCAATTTTACTGAGCCCTAGGCTGCCAGAGAGACCCATGAAGTCATAACCCCAGCCTTCATTCTGATTTGATTTAGTTTTTATTTGGCAGATAAAGAAACTGAGTCTCAAAGAAGACCCTTCCCTGAATTAAATGAAGTAGTGACTGACAGATGTGTTGTAGCCCCAGGGCTTGTCTCTGTTCCTGGGCTTTACACTGTGGACCAGTTCTGTCTGAGACATTCATATGCATTACAGGGCTTGTAGCAGTGAAGTGCTCTACAGAAGCATTTGCCTGACTCTTTGCACGGTGTTAGGTATAAGTTTCTCTTGGGTCCTCTCTTATTCTTCACTGCATTCTGCAGCACATGCCATCTGTCTTCTTTTTACCTTTCCCATATAACTTGTTCATCCCAGGCAAACTCACTTTTAGTTTGGACTTACAGAAACAAATTCCCCTCAAGTTTGCATTCTGAGAAATGAAATTGTGTCTTTGTGATCCCAGGCATGAGTGAACACATTTGTGGTCCAGAGAACAAGGGAAGTGTGGTGGAGAGGAGACCTGGAATTGGCACAGAACTAGGAATCCACCCTGTGGGCACTGACCTACTAAATACATTGGCCAAGGCTAAGAAATGGTATCAGTGTTTTGCTGATTCACACTTTGCTCTGTACAACTTCAAGAAGTAGTGTAAACCACATGGGCATACACCTGTAATCCTAGCACTCTGGAGACAAAGGCAGCAGGATGATGAATTCTAAGCCAGCCTGGGCTACATAGGCAGACAGTCTCAAAAGTAAGAAAAGCACATTCTAACATTAATTAAAGAAGATGACTTTCACAGTGTTTCAAGAGATTAAAATAAAACCTATCAATTCAAGGACCTGTTTGTATTATGAACAGATATTATTTGGGACAGATAGAGGAGAAAAAAAAATCAACCTGTATCTTGCCAAGTTTATTGATTGTCCATATTAATATAAGTATTTCCTAGCTTAACAGTTTGTGTTACAGCTGAGCTACTGAGTACACCTCAGCCCTTCTATATTAGTTATCCTAACTAGGCAGAAGTTTCCTTCCTTCCTTCCTTCCTTGCTTCCTTCCTTCCTCCTTCCTTCCTTTCTTCCTCCTTTCTTCCTTCTTTCTCTCTTTCCTTCTTTTTTCTTTCTTTCTTTCCTTCCTTCCTTCCTCCCTTCCTCCCTCCCTTCTCCCCTCCTTCCCTCCCTCCCTCCCTTCTTTCTTTCTTTCTTTCCTTCCTTCCTTCCTTTCTTCTTCCTTCCTTCCTTTTTTCTTTCTCTCTTTCTTTCTTTCCCTTCCTTCTTTCTTTCTTTCTTTCTTTCTTTCTTTCTTTCTTTCTTTCTTTCTTTCTTTCTTTCTTTCTTTCTTTCTTTCTTTCTTTCTTTCTTTCTTTCCTGCAGATAGATCCCTAAAAAATTTATCATACCGCATTCCTACATGGATTAAAGAGTCTTCTTTAGACCATTGGACAATATTGAATAGCATCCAAGTCCCTCTTCCCTTTGGATTCTCATTTCTGGAAAGCATGTTTAAGCTAGTTTTTAAAAAGCAGCTCCATCTAGAAGAAACTGGGAGGATTCCGAGTGCTTATTGAACACTGTTGGGTGTAGACAACAGACTCCATGTGTTAGAAACACAGTGTTTCCTTTCTGAGTGTCCTTTTATGGAATGGGTGCTTTGGGATGTAGAAGGAGTCAAAGGCAGAGCTGCTGCTGAGTTAAA